CGCTAATAGGTTAAAAACCGACCAGAATTTTTAGAACAAGTTGTCAGCTGCACCTGTAGCACGACAGCAAACGTCGATGACATACAGTTGTTCAAGTGTGCAATTAAGTATCGTGAGATACACACGTAAAAGTGAGGATTTCCTGAGAAATTAAGCCTGTTTCGTTTTATCGTTTTTTTTTTTACCCAGTTCCCTCAACCGATCAAGAAATAAATACGGTCCAGAACGCTCGCATGTTCTTTCTTCACATCATAGCCCAGCTTCCTCCATAAATCCCACCGAATAACGTATCCCATACAAACACGCATGCTGTTCTTTCGCCTATTGGCAAAACTTTGTAAATCCATCCCTCAACAGCGACATAAGAAAATGAGGAGTCCTCTTCCAGCTGGAATTTTTACACCTAGGATTCTTAACAGCCCTTCGCTTCTTCAGCTTTTTTTTCACCTTCTACCGCCGAAAAACTGAATCAAAATCCACAGTGATTAATGGATCACGTCAAAATGGTAAAACTGAAGAAGTGGGTGTAAAATTTGTGTGACAAGTACGATGAAGAATACTAAACACTTTGAATCCTAATTTTTTGGCACTAGCAAGAAACAAAAGTTGCCAAGAATTTATTTGATAATTCTCATTCATTCAGCAGTGAATAATAAAACAAAAAACATACGCATAATAACGAGAAATCAAAAAAAAAAAAACAATGCGCTAAATCATCATTTCTTAAAATATCGCTTTTTAAGAAAGCTACTCCTGAGTTGTGATAAAAAAAAACAGTCCTTCGGCAACATTTTTAATCGTTTATGAGGCCTTTAAATTTTAATCTATGTTTCCAAATTCAGATGCGCCCTTTCCCCGAACCATAGGCGTGTCCAGGACGGACTCCTAAGGGTGGGGGGAGAGGGGAGGAGGGGGAAAGCCACTCCTGAGTTGTGATAAAAAGAACAATCCTTCAGCAACATTCTTAATCGTTTATGAGGTCTTTAAATTTTATTCTATGTTTCCAAATTCAGATGCGTCCTTTCCCCGAGCAGTAGTCGTGTCTAGGACGGACTCCTGGGGGGGATGAAGGGTGAGGAAGAGTCCTCTTCCACTCTGAAACTATGCAAAAACTAGGAATAGAGTTGCTTTAGGTTTTAGTTCACTTTAATTTTAGTTTTAGGCCTAGACTTTTGTAGCATTGATGCTTGTGTTGCTGGAGGGAGAAGAGGACGAAAGATTCTTCGCTCCTCCTTCCTCCCGACCCTCCCTCCCTCCGCTTCTAATGGTCATTTTCCTTCATTTGGGCAGTAGATGAGAGAAAGAAAAAATTTTGAGAACATTGATTTGTGTTGGCCAGATCTCCGGAACTCGGAACAATCGAAAGCGCAACTGTATGCTAGCTGAGTTTTAATTTTTCCAATTCCTCAATGATCTCTTCTTCCCTCTCAATTTTCGACAATTGATTGGCTTCCAACTGCTCGCCGCTTTCTTTCCGCGCTTTCAGTTTTTCAATATCCGTGAGCTTTTTTTGTAAGGCACGCATCTGAAAATACAATTCCTTCACATATCTCATTTCCCTCTCTGAAAGTCTCATTTTGGCAACCCAAAATTTGAAAAATTATTAA